TACAGCGTATGTTCCTTGGTACTTTGTCCTTCTTTGTGAACTTTCATCACCACTATTAAACCTAGTTTAATCATTTACCTAATGTATGCATAATGAATAGGAATGTTGGCCCTATGAAAGAGTATTTACAAAAACTTGTCTTATCAAGATCAATATGTTTTGGTGAATGTGTTGGGTTATGATAAGAGACAATTTACAATTATGAGCCATTTGAGAAATATTTACAATCATGAGCAATTTGAGGCATTTCATATCAAGGATAAAATGAGACAGAATCATTTAAGATGCATGGATATGTGCAAAAGGAGATCTATATATGTGTTGGTTTGATAAAATGAGTTAGGATCAAAAAGTGTTTAGTGTTATTGAGGTGAATATGTATAGGTGGATGTTGGTTTACTAGAAAGAATAAGAAATATTTACAATCATAAACGATTTGATGCAGTTTACATCAAGGAAAAATGAATCAAAATAAGATGAATGGACATGTCCAACGGGAGATATATAGATGTCAATTAGATGAGGTGAGTTAATTAGTAGTAGTGTGAGTTAAGGTAGAGGAATACCTATGAGTACTGCAAACAATAAAAGAAAAGATTTTTTTATTGCTCTTCTCTTGACTTGTGTTATTATCCTCATAGAACTCAATAGCAGGAAAAGCAACTAGCAATGTTGCTGCTTCTTTGGCAAAAAAGTAAGGTTTTTTTCTTAATATCAAGTTTCTTCATTTTGGTTTTTGCCAAGTTTTGTTGATATGGTATGTCTATTGTGCCAACCTTTAAAGGGCTCAAGCATGATACATGATAAAACTAGGAAAGTTCAAGAACTTGTTCCTTGCAACTCAAATTCCAGATCCTTGAGGTTCACTCGTTTCTTTTTCTGCATTTATTTTGCAGAAATCTTTAAATTATTCATGATTTTCTTTCTGTAACCCAATTTCCCATCTATCGATACATCATCTGGTTTCATGTTATCTGTTATTTAAATTGTAGTTATCCAATTAATGTTAAGTATTGAGTCTATTGCTTCTTGTGATTGTTCTTATTGATCTATCAAAATAGTTGACATGGTATTAGAGCATTTTTTTAAGCTTGTAGTTGTAGGTCATGAATCTTATTCATTAATTTGTATGAAAACTTCTAATGCACCCACTTGAGCTATTGTGTTTGTAGAGTTATGTCTTCCTGGACAACATTTATGAGTTTCTTTTGCCAATTCATGTCAGGAACTGCTCGCTGAGATTGCTGGACTGGAGAAACAAAGAGATGAACTTGAGGCTCAACTAAAGAAGGTAATTTTTATCTCAGGATAATTTTATTTTATATTACTTTTATCTGAAGCCTGTTGACATCACTCAGTTGCTCAATAATCGAAGTTACTAGGTGAATTACAATGCAAGGATTCTGGAAATTCTGGGCCTACATGAATAAAATGATGTTAAGTCAGATGACTAATAAGTAATAACTATAGTCACTGATTTACTATGCTGTTATCAAAGGAGTTCAAGTTACCAAGTATGCAGTTGTATGATGCCACCATTTGATACTGTCAAAAATCCTTGAGCTGCTTGTCATCTGGTGTTATGTATTCTGAAGTTGTTACCGGCTGCTTGTCATCTGATTTTCTGTCTCTTAAAGTTGTTACTTGTGCTGTTGCCTAGTCACCTAAGCTATTGTCTGTGCTTTGGTACTAGGCTACGTCTATTGCCTGAGATTTTCTACTTTACAAACAACACGGGATGTCACAATGTGATATAGCTTCTAAAATCATCTTCCAATTTATGTTATGTCATTGAAACTTATGTGATTCACAATATTTTGTTATTTTCTTGAAGCCAGTTCTGGACTTGAATGATTCAAAGTCATTTGTTGCAATCTGGAAGCCAGTTCTGAGGCATAACATCACACAACATTGTTACTTCGTAGGTTAATATTTCTCTGGCAGCTGTTGTTGGACGACTCAATAAAACCAGGGAAGAGAGAGACCAGTTTGACGAAGCAAGCAATCAGATTGTTTTGCACCTGAAGACAAAGGTTCTCAATACCCAATCCTTGGTTTATAAAAATATATTCTTGTAAACATAGTGTGAGAATCCTAGTTCAAATTGAAGTACCGAGTTTTAGTTTAGTTTAAGTACTGAGCCTTTAAGGTTTCTATAAATTTCAGGAAAATGAGCTTGCAAAATCTGTTGCTTCGTGTAAAGCAGAAGCTGATATTGTCCATGTCTGGATTAATTTCTTAGAAGATGCATGGCAGCTCCAATCTTCATACACAGACCTGAAGGACAGACAGATTAGGTATGCTTTCCATGCCTTTTTGATAGATTTGGATCCATGATCTGGTTCAGGATGCATGTCTACTAGTTGTTGTTTCGTTCTTCCATGTATTATCTTCTTCTTGTAGTGATGAGTTGGAGAAATGTGGGAATTGTTTTCTGAAGTTGATCAAACATCACCTTTCTGCTTGCAAGGTATTGCTTTATCCATTAGCATATTTTGGAAATACTTCAGTTGTATATAGGTTTTGTTGTCTTGATGGACACTAATATAATATTTGTCTTGTTTGACCTTGGCCCATTTCTGTTATTTGTGTAGGATGAACTTAAACCTTCTATTGCTCGTATCAGCACATTTGTGGAGAACTTGAAAAGATTAAATGATGGGTAATATACTTATATCCTTAGCCCTTCAAGGCAGTGGAAGGCATATTTTCCCATTGATTGAATGCCTTTTGCCATTATGATTTGCAGGTCAGAAGCGATGCAAAATCCTGATGATAAGATATCTAAAGAGTCAAACCCAAGGAAATATGTTGAAGAGGAATACTTGGCAACTGAAACAAAGGTATTCTACTGCATTGCTTGAAAATAAGTTTACTTATTAAATGTTAGAAATTTATGGGTTACAAAGAAGTGGAAAATGTGATCTGTTAATATGTTGAACCTTGTGGAAGTAATGAATGAACTATCTTATGATGCTATGCAGTGAATTAAAAAAAAAAAAAAGCATGTTGGTCCTTGTAAAAGCATTGTGAACTGACTTTAATCCAATCTTGTTTAATTTGACCACCTTCTCCTCTGTTGATCATGAAGAGTTTATGGACCTAGAAAATATTTTTTTAATCCAAAATCTCAATACTGTTAATCTTGATGAAATTGTTGTTGATTTTGCTAGAATGTGACTTTATGATAAATTATCATGTCATAAAGCAGTATTGTTTGCAAATATGACAAAAGCTACATTATTACAATTTTGTTGAATTTCTTGTCACGGAATATATACTGCACAAGCGAGTCTGTCATTTTGCTTAGTGGTTTTCCAGACCGAATTTTAAGCGGAACTTGATTATTGATTACCGGTTTTCTCGAAGGATAAGAGAGATTGCTTCTGTTTATTCTCTCTGTTTTATTAAACTTTGAAGTTATAATTTGATATTTTCCCAAGTCATAGACCAAATTATCTTCAGGAGTTTTCACATTCCGCCAAGACCAACTAATTTGTAAATGCTACAATCGGTAACCGTATTGAGAAGTTTACCATAGGTATTTCTTACGACTTCTCTTAGTTTACCGATGGGTCTAAATGGAGTTCTTGACAAGTGAATCTTTCTTCCACCGATGGTTATGTTTATCATGACGAATCATACAATCTCTTTCCAGATCGTTACTGCCTTCAGCGTGGTTGATCATATGAAAGAGTTGTTTTATGCTGATATGGAAAATGGTTCCAGGTACTGCATATTTTATGCTCTTCTGGCGTTCTTAGTGTGTGAATGTCTCCTTTTTCCATGTGAACTTCTTTTCTTTCCAAATGAATTCTGACTCATGGTCATCTTTGTCTGCAGGAGAGATGATCCTGATGTCAAGGAATTATTTGAATCAATTGAGAAAATGAGATTGGACTTTGAATCCATTGAAAGACCTTTTCTAGAGATTGAAGTTCCAGAGAAAATGATGATGGAAGATGATTCAGAAAAGGGTTCACCTGTTGTTCAGATCTCCTCTTCACCAAAATTCAAACGTGTGGACTCACCCAAGTCACCTCAACCTGTTGTTCAGATCTCCTCTTCACCAAAATCCAAAGGTGTCTACTCACCGAAGTCATCTCCCAGGACCGCAGACGAGATATTAGATCCGGAATCAGAAATCGCAAAGTTAGAAATGGAATTTGGAAAAGCGGGCAGGGATTACTCGACTGAGGAGATCGGAGGGTGGGAGTTTGATGAACTTGAGCAGGAATTGGGGCCAAATAAATAGTTGGAATTCGTGTACTCAGTTTGGGTGAAATGATGATGCTCACAGTACTCGGCGAGTTACGATCAACATCTGCTTTATCTAATTTAGGGGGACCTGACTTGAACAAAGAAGTTATTTATTGGCTGTATATTCTTTTGTATATCCTTTGTATCTACCTACTTTGATACCTCAGGTTTTAAAACTGTAACGTTTGCAATACCGATCCGTCGCTCTCTGAACTTACCTGCCTGTGACATTTACATGATGAACATGTCGTACTCCGGCACGTGTTTCGGATGCGGTGCGGTGCGGTGCACTGCCTCATACCCTCCTGATACAGGCCATGTCCAGCGGCCGTGTCATTTGAGTCGCTCGAGCGCCTGCGTGCTTTGGTACATTTAGGTCGGAGACACGCATATTGGTTGTATGTACTCTTTTCACGACTTGTGGCTTGTGGATCGTGATGTTTCTCCTTTGCTCATGAGCTGAATGCATTAGTGTACTACAGATGTTGTTCCAAGAAGCTCAAGTTGATCAACCGGTTTTCCCAGATTGCCAATCCGTAATCTGCAAAAGCTTATCCGAAGACTTTGTTCAACGGAACAAGCTGTTCTATGGATTGTACAGAAAGCTGGAGGATCATTAGCGCTCTCGGTCTCATCAGGGGACTCCAAAAAGAGAGAAGCATGTGGAAGAAGAAGTTATAGTGCCTGTCCATCTTTCTTCCCGACATTTTTGTTTGCCAGGAAAGAACACATCGTAACACTGACATTGGCTGAACTGATGGTGGTGTCTACGTTATGGTTTCTACTCTCAGATGGCGTACATCTTCTTGTACTCCTTGTTGACCCACTCGCTGTCTGACATCCCAGAGACGGACCACGACCGCGATCGACCGAGCGTTGCCCGCCGGATTTCCCTCATCTTTTTGGCTTCGATTCGATGGGCAATCACCCAGTAGAGCATGGTGCCCAGCGTCGTCGCCAGTATCACCGTCCCTATGACCGTCACCCCGATCGCCAGCCACTTCTGTGTACGCCCCACGACGATGAAGCAGAGGGCGAGGAAGGCGACGCTGATGAGCACGCAGGCTATCCACATCAACTTGTTGATGATGGCCATCATCTGCTTCTTGGCCTTGCTCTCGATGACCACCACGGACGTCTGCACCACCACGACGGCCAAGGATATGAAAAGAGCCACCGAGTCGAAGACGAAGAAAATCATGAACGGCGTTTGATGCGCCACATTGGCTTCTCCTAGCGTCAGCCCGGGAGCTAAGTTGTCGGACTCTACGTATTCCCCGGGAACCGTGAAGATGGCGGCAAATGCGACGCTCGCGATGAGGACGGCGACGACGGTGTTGGAGTTGATGGCGTTGTTGAGGCCCTCCTGGTGGAGCTTGTTGAGCCTCTTCGCGATCCCCTGCACGCGCCTCCGCGTCTGGCGTGTGTGCTCCAGCTGCGAGTGAACCTCGTGCTTGATGTCGCTCACCGTCTGCTTTAGCTCCCGCGCCGGGTTCGCAGGAGGGGGCTTCATGGTCCTTGCGCTCGGCACACCGTGCTCCAGGAGGACGCTGGCAACCTCCATGTGCCCCATCTTCTCCGCAGTGTCGAGGGCTGTCTCCCCTGACTTGTTGATAGCTTTGATCTCAAGGTCCTTTATCTCAAGTAATCTCTTGACGATCTGCAACGACGCATTGCTCCTTCATCTCACCCTCACTGAAAGCGATATCCAAAACACAAAGATCCTGGCAAGTACAAGGATGTGCAAGCCAGGATCACAGAGCACTTCACCTGAGCGCGGCCTTTCCTTGCTGCTATATGCAGTGCTGTGTTGCCCTTCGTGTCCACCAGGTTAAGCAAAGAGGGCTCGGACTCAAGAAGCTCCACCACCAACTCCAGGCTTGTTGCCTTCACTGCCATGTGAAGTGCAGTCTGGCCTTTCTTGTCAGTTCTGGTGGCAATCGCGGATTCCTTTCTTAGAAGAGCCTTGACGACTTCCAAGTGCCCATTTCTTGCGGCGGAATGCAGCGCAGTCTTGCCGTTGCTCCTGGCGATCAGTGCGAGGCTCTTATCAGTTTCGAGCAGGAGGTTCACCACATCGATGTGGCCCTGTGTTGCCGCCGTATTTAGCGCGGTGGTGTTGGACAAGTCCACCGTCAGCGAGAGCTCCGGAAGAGCTTTGAGCAGCTCCTTCACCACATCTGGCCGATTCAGGAGTTGAATGAGATCGAGCAAAAAATGACAGGCGCAATAGCTAGAGATGATGACATTTGCTGTACCTACATCCCCTTGCTTGGCGGCGATGTGCAAAGCGTCGTACCCATTCTTGGCCCTTATCTCCGCCATCGCAACGTCGTAATGCTTCATCATCTCGTGCACCACATCGACGTAGCCATACTCGGCAGCCACGAACAAAGCGGTCTCTCCCACCTGGTTCTGCTTGCACAACAGATCCTTCAGTTCTCCGTCATTCGTTCCCGAGAGAATCTCCTTCGCCACCACTAAATTCCCTGCTCTGGCCGCGGAATGCAGCGGCGTGTCGTCCCGTTTCCCGGTCAGTTGTTTCGTCATCTTCTTCCTGCGGATGCTCTGCTGCCCGCCCGGCGAGTCCATCTCGCTCTCGTAATCTCACAAACCACTGCCTCTTATTCGATCAAATTCTCGTCCATCAACGACACTTATCAGCTTAATAGGACCCTGCAACCAGAAGAAACATGCCATTTACCACATAATCCTGCGTCTTATCCCACACGCCCAACATTGTTCACCCACTACATAATCATTCGCACCACTTTCCGTGTACAAAAGGAACAAGCAGGAGCTGCTGCTTCCTGTTTGAAACAAGCTAAAGAACAGATGGAGAAGGAACAGAAGATGACCCTCACGCGCATAATTTGAACACTTGGGATAGCATCATTGCAAAGATCCAGAAAGAAAGAAAGAGCAGATTGGACCAGAAGGAGAGAAGGATTCTTTTTGAGGGGAATCTGGAGTCATGGGCAGGACAGCAGGAGATTCATATACCTCTCGAGTTGCACGTCCGAATGATCCAAGAATCAAATCCAGCCTCCTGTTATGTGGAGATGGCTCCTCTCATGTACTGATGACAAGGTGGAACGAAGAAGACGACCATTGAAATCCATGTCGAACAGGGACGAAGGCAATTTATATTCCCGTCGATTACTGTTGATCGAGCCATGAAGCATACGAAGATGGCATTGGGCAGAAGGAGAAGAATGAATGATGGTGGAATTAGTAAGCGATGATTACAGGATTTGAGGAGGGTGACGGCGACCGGGTGGAGGAGAACAGGTGGGGGTTGATCGTTGACCGGTCAACAGACGGGACGCTGCGTTCGTCCTGGAAGTGGCGAAGCCTTTTAGGGGACGGGATTGGAAACCGGTGGAAGGGGCGTCTCGTCACCGATCCGACGGTTGCCATCGATCACGGAGCCGCGAGCCAAGCCTCGGCTATGCTGGTCTGCGTGGGAGCGGCCCGACACGGTATTACCATACCAGCCCGCTCGTGGTGCACCTACTGGGGAAGCAAACGGGAACGGGACCCACCCTTGCCGTGTCGCTGAATCAGGAGGCAGGGAAGGGTTGGTTCCACACGTGGGACAGGTCCTACACGTGTCCGATTCTGATTCCCGAGAACCCACAGAAACGATATTTCCTGTTCACCGCACGTGTCTAACTTTTTTTCGAAGATCTTCTTGGTGCAATGTCCGATCTTCTTGGTCCGATGCTCGAATTCATGGCTCAACCTTCTGTCGATACGTCGACTCGGGTCCGACGTCCAATCTTCTGATATATTTGTTCCGGCTCAACATATAATTTCTAATGCTTTAATCAATTTACCCTTTCTAATCGATGTTAGTCCTGCGTTACTCAAAATACTTATTAGATTACAAACACATCAATTGATTTCATCATCAAAATCTGATATTTAATATACTCTTGAAATCACATACGAAGGCACTAGTAGAATAAAAGATTCTAAGATAAATCTTTTGATGCATGATTTTAAACTTTTTATAATGAAACCAAGTGAAGACTATTGGAAACATGTATACCGATTTTACAGATGTCATCAATAGTCTAAAAGCAATTGACAAATGTTTTTTGAATCTTGAACTTGTTAATAAAGTTTTACGATCTCTTTCTAAAAATTAGGATTCGAAAATAACGACAATACAAGAATCAAAAGATTTGAATCATTTTTCAATCAAAGAACTTATGGGGTCTTTGATAATCTTCCTGATGTACGTATTTGAATTTTGACACCATTAATCTTCGTGCTAGTAATTTATACTATTCATATACGATATCCAAATACAAAACCATTTCGTGTGTATATATATATATATATATATATGAGAGAATTTATTTTAAAATTTTCATTATGTATAATACATTAATAATATTTCTATATAGCATTAGAATGATAAGCAAAATATTAAGTCGATATAGTATTAGAATTATATTACGGTCAGTAACACAGATGGTACAGAAGAGCTACTCGTCAAGCTGAGACTTGATACCGAAGCTTAATGTGAATATGCATTTTAGTTTGACATCGGGTGTCACAGCGGCTCCTAAGAAACACAGGAACTATAAAGTCCACCAAGTTTTCAGAAGACATGCTCCTTAAACGTCACTAAGAACTAGTAGAACAGGTAAAGAAGAGTTACAAATATGTTGTGTTGATGCCTTGCCACAGCCTTCTGAGGGCAGCTGCATGAGTAAAGCTTGTAGAATATGAAGCCTTGCCGGAGTTGTGAATCCGTTGCACTATACTAAGACAAATTCACAAATGAGCTCCTCCAATAGGTCAGCATTCAACATCCCCTCCATCTCCATCCCAACCAAATCGATACCATATTCCAATCCAAACCATCCTGATTCCAGCAACATGTTTTCCTGATTGCAATGTAGCTCTTTCCTTTGCTTCACCACCATTTGCCACACAGCTTCGACAAGACCTTCACGATCCCATGCTGGCACACATATCTTCGACGTCAACGATGTCATCCACAAGTGCACATCCATATATGGGGTGATCAGACCTGCTAGAGTGCAATTTATAAGATCAAACAACAGTTTCCTTTCTGATCTTGGCCATGATGCAACCCCATCGTACTTCTTCTCGAGCTTATCAAACACGCTTTGGTTGACAGGATGACCGCGCGAATAGAATGCATCTGAGAACCTGTTGTCATCAGTGCCACGGACACCTGACTCTATAAGAACATCAAGTAGGTAGGTGAAGTCTCTGTCATCAACATCGCTGAATTCTCGGTGTACCTCCATCGAAGGCAGAAGCACATGATTGTCTCCTGCACAATCTTCATCACTCTCTGCAGATGTAGCTACTGACTCCAGCTTTAGACACTGTAGTTGCACGCGAAGCTCTGCCAGTTCAATCAAACTAAATAAGCAACAAATGTGCAATCTAGAGGAACTAGAAGATAAAACTTGATGACAAAGTTGTTCCCTTGCCTTTAAGATCTGCGCTTAATCTTTCAAAGCATCCTGAGCTATAAGTGCCATCTTCAGATGGAGTCTCTAGAACAAAGCTTGGACTTGGTTGGTCAAGTTCCTCAGAGCCTACAGGATGTGGTTTAGCCATGTCTGATTCACACAGAAGCAGCTTCTCTTGAGGTTGATCGCTTGATTTTTCCTGGCAACATGAAATTTGCTTTTGAGAAACTGAAAGAGATTTGCAAAGATTATTTCATGTGTACAACAAAAGAATATTAAATTGACCTAATTTAGGAGCACATAGAGCAAAATATGGACCAAAGACAATGAAGATTATATATTTTTCCAAAGCAATTAAGTCTCCCTATTTAACACAGATAAAGCATGACAATATTGTGTGAGCTGCCAAAAGAAGTGATTAAGTTTCACATCTAGGCGGACAAGCTGAGGCAGGAAAGATTGATTGCAACCACTCCAAATTGATCAGTTCTCCTTTACAGTTTTAGGTTCTCAATACATAAGCACTCGAGAGAGTAATCATAATTTTGGTAAGGAGGGAACCAACAGCAATGATATTTGGTGGGATGGTAACAAGATATAGCATGTTTTGGAAAAGTCGACATATGTGGTTATGCTAATTTATGAGATGGCCTTCAAGTGATTTCTATGTTAGTAGAAACAGAGATGAATCCACAATGTACCTTGTAAGATCCTTTTATCTACATTTCAATGTTTAACCAACTGCATCTAAAAGATTTTCCTATATAAACTTAATAAACCAGAAAAGCATGAGACCTCATAGACATCGTTAAAAAAAAGGGAAGGGGTTAAATCATCATATAACCCTATATGCTTCCTTTTGGTAACAATGATCAAATCCACTATCAATTTTTTAAAAAAATCTTTACTGTAGAATATATTGTCAGATAAATACCTCAATCACTACATTCTGAATATGGCCAAATAATCCCTCATTCTCTGATGGCACTTGAAATGCAGATAATTTAGGCACCATTTGAGTGGTCAAATGCCATGGTGTGTCTATGGGAATTGATGCACCTTTTGCTAGCTGATTTCTCTCAGTGATGGCATCATCAGTAGGTGCAGGATGTAACACCGTCTTGTCTAAGAAACTTTTCACATGAATTTTCTTCCACAACCCTTCTGAATTCACATGGATATCATGTTTAATTAGCATGGTTTCCTCACCAACAGAATGAGCTAGTTTAGAATTGTGATATTGATGCTTAGGGCTTTTCATTAGTGGCACTTCTGGCTTACTAAATTTCACAACTGAAGAAACAGAGGCTCCCATATCTGGTACATCTTTGATCATATTGGTACAACTCCCACCATCACGTTCCCTGTCACTAAGTTGTAGGTTATACGAAACTGGATGTGGCAGAGTCTTTGGCAAGAATCTGGAGCTCCCATCTCTCCGGGCATCAGCACCATGAACCCAATGACATCCCTTGCTTTTGAGTGCGTCATTGCTAGTGAGCTTTTCATATGAAAAATTCTTAGTATTTATCATGTCCACGGTAACCTTTGGTGTATCTCTATCAAATTGTACACACATTTCACCCAGTGTGCTTGAGCCTCGAGCAATAAGTCCCATTTTCTGAAACTGGTGGGTTGTTTTCCATCTTTCAGACAGACGATTGTGAGCTTCTCTGCTTGAATATTCAGTTGAATACAAATATGATGGACTGAAGCTGTTACTCCACTCACCAAAAGGGTCAGGGTTCTGACAGACTGCCTCTGAGTGGCTGAGTTTAGACTCGCCTGGAGTCATAAATGAGTCTTCAGTCCCAGGATATGGATTCATTTTTGAAGTCAAGTTCTTTTTGGTGCAGCTACTTATGGAGTGCCTCGTCTTTCTTGTATTCTCTGTAGCAATTTCTCTTGAACCCTTTACTTTGTGGTTCGATACCTGTGTGTGATGAGACAAATGTTCATCTCTTCCTTCATACTGAAGCACCTGAATTCTAGACGCTGCAATTCCAGTGCCCCTTTTGGAACTAAACAGGAAGTCCTCATGGGCAAAAGAACTAGCCTCTGCCATCTTTTGAGCTTTCTCAAGGCTTGGTTTTAAGATAACAATGTGAGCAGGATCAACATGAGTCTCAGATCTGCCTGCATCTCGTGATGCCGATGAATGTTGTGAAAGGGAACCACTGATTTCACCAATAGAGCATTCGTTAAGGCAGAATGGATACATCTTAAAAGAGCCTGTGACTTCTTGCTGCATATGAGAGCACCAATCATGATTTCTTTCTATTTTGGATGAGTTACACCAAACTTCATTGCTCCAATGCTTAGTACCTTTAGATGGTTTTAAGATTGTGATCTTGCTTCGATGAGGTGATGATGGTGCACAGTTCACATTTGGACGATGCTTTCCAATGAGAAGATCCTTGCTTGAATCAAATGCATCATTAAATTCTTTAGAGTTTTGCAGCACTTCATTGTTTGATAGACTCTTCATATCCATGACTTTCTGCCTTACAAGATCCGTGTCAGCTCCATTTCCTTGACATCTAAGCATCCCCCTGCTATCAGAGTGGCTTTGTTGCTCTCTATTCTTGGATGCTTCCATTACTTCAAAAACATCTTTGAACTCTGGACCTTCACCAGAGCTTCGCCATTGTGACCAGTCCTCAGGATGTACATGATTCCCCTCCCTAGGCATTGTTGTCCTGCAACAACTATCAACACTTCTCTGCGGTCTGACAGAAGAGGGGAGGGTATCAAGACCCATCAGTCTTGCAATTAAACTTGGCAAGGGATGCCTAATTTCCTTTTCTTTTGACACCTCATTATCTATTAGTTCTTTTATTGGCATCCCACTGGCTTTCTTGGATGAAGTTTGCCTGATCTCAAGAGCAAACTGGGAACATCAAAGCATTTAAACAAGTCAGTACAGGGCTATTCAAGGACATCCATTAAAAAGTGGCAAACATATGCTTTAATAAGCTTACAGAAAAAAACAAATAAATTAAGAAAATTTAGTAGCAACAAAGTTGAGTACGTATCAAATGCTTGCCAAAGCTGGTAAGAACAGCGAATTACTTATGAAACATACTTTGTGCATCTTGCTCATACTTATGCTTCATAATAGACCTTTGTACCAGGCAGTTAATCCCCAAAATTGATGACATTTTGATTGCTTTTCTATGACTGAAGCGAATGACATTAATTATAAAGCACATACATGCCACTAGAACCCAAAGAGGGAATGCACACTTACAGAATTTTCTTCTGCAGAAAGGCCATTGTTACAAGCAGAACAAATTGCATCCCTTGGATTTGGCTGTCTTCTGAAATGAAACTGCCCTGTTATAAGAACATCATGGTTAGAGATGTTTGTTCAAATTTGACCATTTTTATTCAGGAAAATAGTTTCGGCCAGTCATATCAAACACTGATAAGAATAAAGTAAAATTTCATATCTCATCAACAATAATAATTTTTTGGCACTTCATAAGATAGCAAAAAATCATAAACTTTATACAGTGTAGGAAGTGTTTATATATACTAAACAAACAAAAGTGAAGAGAGAAAATAGAATCTAATTCCAGTACCAACTGAACTGAAAACTATAGCCAAAGAAGCATATATAATACTTTTCCTTTAAAAAGACCGTATAGTATGTTCTGTCTTCCATGTCCAACCCTAATAAGAATGCACAATGGCATGCCATCCAACTATCATAATGTTCTTTGACACTCTTAAAAGGGAAAATATATCTGAATTACAAGCAATATATGTAATGTAATCTTTATGATTCATTTCACAACTGAATGATTAAGAAGAATTTGACTTCACAACAAGAGACATTAGGCAGGCTGGCCCAAATAGAAAAAGCTTTAGCACATGCTACAAAATGAGAGTTCTACATATATGAAAGTTCACTATAAAGTGTAATCAATCCCAAATTGTTAAGACCCTGTAGCTTCTTGCAGTAAATGTACGACTTTTTTTGGGCATAATATTGAGTTTTTGCATAGTTTGCAGAGGTTCAGTTGTCAATTACCTTCACACGCACCCATCAGGCATGGTTCATGGAATACAGGAAAAGATATTAGACATCAAAAGTAAGAATCTGTGAACTTGCAGTAAGTAGGCACCAATCTACAGAATGTTTTAACGACATTGTTATAAATGTCTTGAAAGCCATAAAGGAAAAACTATATTTATAACAAATGTTAATTGTAGATTTAAGTGCCAGCAATCACAGGGAATAATCAAGGTTATTTACATCACTGTAATCAAGGCAGAAAATTAAATTATGCTAGAATCTAGTAAGATGAGAAAGAAACAAGCATTCACCAAAATCAAAAGAAGTATAAATAAAATATTTTCTACTTCTTCAAACATTTTGAAATGCTTAGAAATTACATTATTCGGTACAAAATAAAGCATACAGGTTTTCAGCAACTTATGAGATAAGAAACAACAGAACCAAAGCCATAAATCTTAAACTAACGGAAAGTTAAGAAATGAAACAGATCAATACAATCTCATCCGAGAAAAAAGAACTTCTACAAACGTAACGAGAGTGAAAACACCAGGCCGTAAAACTCAGGATAAAAAAAAGAAAGCCTGCACGAGTGATACCCAAAACTACAAATGCCATTACCAAAAGGAGCTTCAAAGATGAGAATTTTAGTACACCATGAACCTTAACTTCACTTTACCAAACTGTGTATAAAGTGACTTCTTTTGGTAGCCAAAGAGAGGCAGCAGAACAACCACCGTACCACATTAAAAGCGGAACACTTTTAGCACATTGGACATAATGTTTTGGTGGTTCTTGACAACTGAGATCGAGAAGCGAATATTATAATCATTTGTCTTGGGCGAAGAAAAAAAAAGTAAATAAGATCTTGCGGGAACAGGAATTATTAGTACAGACCCACTTTAAAAATCTGATCAGAACAGTAACATCTTTCCAGACCAAAAATGCAATCTTTCTTCCTCTTTTCTGCTAATCGAACTCCAACAAGCGATTCTTAACACGGCAATACGGTCGCGATTTACGATTTATTATTCCGAAGACGAACAGAGAAATAGACGAAAAGAAAGCATCCCGAGACTCGGACAAAAGCGGAGGATTCCTATAGCGAAGACGAGGTAAAACTGAAGGAGAAGAGGACGGCACCTTCAGCTCGAGCTGCGCTCACCGGGACCGGGTGGCGGCCGAACTCGGCCCCAGATGGGTGGGGCTCCTCCCGGCGGCGGGGTCTGCTGCTCTGGGGCATTGCCCTCACGAGCTAAGCATTCGGCGTATTTCTCAGCTGAGGAGCGAGGGGAAGCTCGAGAGGGGAAGAGGAGAGGAAGAGGAAGGATCCGGGCGAATCGGGGCGCGCAAGTGCGTCGAGATCGGGATGGTTGAAGCCCAACTGGGAAAGAAGTTAACGGCTAGAAGTGGGTGCAATAAATGGGTGACCGCGCCGCGATATAACGAAGAGCAAAGGCAGAAGAAGAAGTCTTGGAGGAGTATCCAACACGACATCCCGTATTAATTCGTTCTCGCTCTCCGCATAGTAGTTGTCGGTTTCCGATAACCAAAGTGTACATTCTTGTCTCAGGGCCATGCCATCTACCTGCCTTGTGATTGGAGGTAGATTGGGTCCCCTCCGCCATCTCTCAACCCGAGGCAGCTATCGGCGGGTACGCGGTCCAACGATGCGTTGGCAAGGAGACTTGCCCTTTCGCTTGCTTCGTGATTCGTGAGATTTGACATCTGACGGTGGACACCGGATCGAGTCTTAACGGGTGAGTCAATCTCATTAACTTGTTGGGCTCGGGTGGGTCTGCTTGCATACACCACTAGGAACGCATGGAGTTGGAAAAGTCAACCATGCAAACAAATTAAGTATTGTCGTGATGGATCAGATATCTTCCTGTGCTACGCAGAACAAGATATCTTTTCTGCTTGAATTAATCCTCACCCCCAGTTTTAGGGATAGAGAAGCTACTGGCATAAGAGACAAGGAACAGAGTTGGTGAGAGGTCATGCACCAATCAGAAGAGAAATGACAGGAAGCAAACAATCCCGGAAACGAGGGGACTGCCTCCCCCCCCCACCTCGGAATTAGGCGAGCCTTGGACATTACTGCAACATGGCTCGCAGACGTGATACTTGGTGGGTGAAAACGATGGGAGACTGCTCGTGAGGAAGGCGACACACATGGACTCTCTCTCGCTCTCTTTCCCGGTGACAGTGATCTCCTTCCCTTCGGTGCTATTACTGCTATCGCTATATCAATTATTCATTTCCCTGGTGATTTGCCCCAGCATCAATGATTGCTCCTTCCTCGCACATTATCACTGTTGTCTTTGTCGTTGCTGTTGCTTTCTCTCACAATAGTTGCAACTTCGTTGTGATTGCTCATGCACTACTCCTTCCTCACCCGACGATACTCCTCTGTTCGTGCACCCCTCTTCACCTGTCACTGCTCTCGACACTGTAACAACAGAAGCCTTCTCCTCACATCATAACAGACGATCTATTCAATGCTTATGTCTACAACAACGAGCGTGATGCAACTTCTCCCTTCCCTTTGCGTAATTCTCATGCGCAACCTCCCCTGTGCAAACTGATCTACAGTAGATCTGTCAGCCTCGATTTGATCTTCTGCCTTCGGTGATTGTTCTCCCTTTTTGACAATCGTGATCTGCACCTTGCTGTTACCGACGATAATCTGTAGATTTGACCTTGATGTCACCGTCGATGATCTACCTCTCTAGCAAACTATAGATTTGACTTGCCTGTTGCTGGCGATCTGTAGATCTACCACTGCCACTGGCCACGGGCGACAACAATCAATGAATCCTCTCTGCCTCACCACTACAACTAACCTCCCGCAACAGCATCGATGGCCATTAGATCACAACCTTCTCCCTAATCTATGATACAAACTTGATATCACCTCCTAATCCACTTTTATAATATATTATAATAATATCGGTATCACATTACCATCGATTTTTATTTTATAAAAGATCAAGTTGTTAAATATTAACTATGTATTTCTTACCTCCATACTTTTAACTAACTAATTAACTTCCTCATAAAGACTTTCGCTCGTAAGATATTTCAGTTACATCAATCCAAGATTAACATTCTTGATAGAACTCGAGACATGAAAGAAGATAATGATAAAGAAAAATATAAAATGACAACTCTATATTCCTTACATGCTTTAATTCTCAATCAACCTATAATTAAAAGATCAATCACCATGATATATGTACATGATTTAAACATTTGCATTACCTCACCGAATGAAATCAAGCCTTTACAACAAATTCTTCGAGCATATGTCAATGTTTCTTCTACATCCACAAACAACTTATCATCCTGAGCAAGTTTTGCTGCATCATCATTACACAACTTACTGACTAAAATCTTCAATCCAACATGCGAGAAACAACATCGTCCATGACCTATATGAAATCAACTAGTCATAAACAATATCATAAAAACCAGCTGAACTATGGCAGGAACCAAAACGATAAAAAAAAAGTGTGAGATTAAATGGTCCTTAAAAGAACATGGCACGTCATGATGAGAGAATTCCGACCCATCAGCAGTTATAGATCCAGTCTGTATAGTGCAATGAAATATCCATATTCGTGTTCCAAATTGTCAAGAGAATCTCATGTGTTTATGTGGATGCTTGGTATTTATGACATAAACTTAGCAGTCATATAAGCCAAACTGAGAGTAGCTAAGCAGAGGACCACAGTGGAACTTGTTCAGTTGATGAGTGACTAACACAGGTCTCAATAGATGAAGACATGTCAGATCTTCAGGTTTCAACATCAAAAAGTATATTCCCTCTTAATCAATCAACAATTTAACTGTCACTCATATATATGCTCATATAATTAGATGACAATGTCAATGTTCAGAGTCTAATATAGATTGGACTCTTTTCTAACAATTTAAGCTTTTGGGATTCATGGTAATTCAGTTTAATATTTATATCATATAGTACAGAGCAGTTTGAATCTTATATTATCCTATTCTATTTGGTCATACACAATTCATAATCTTTCTCAATCAAAAGACTCTGGATAAAATGTAATAGAGACTTAAACAACATAAGATGTTCCGCTCCACTTGATGCTCGTAGTACTTAGCCAGTGTTTCTGTTGATCTTCTTAAGGATGATCAAAGAGAGGTCTCCCCTGATCAGTTGATCACATGTTATTGTCCTATACGTGGCATGTGATCCTGATCAATCCCATTTTTCCAAAGAATTAAAACATTAAAGATTGATAGTCTATTCCAACTGTTTCTCAGAGGTTATTTTATCATTTATTTGATGTCAAGCTAATAAAGTAGAATAGCACTTGTAGTAAAAAAAAGTAGGTAGTCCAGCAGTCTTATAATCATTCATCAGGAGGCCACCTGAATTATTATGCAAATACCACTTTAACTTGATCTTGTGCATCTAATCAAATGTTTTTGCTCTACCAACCACCGCATGAGAAATGCATTATGTGAGCACATAAAACAGCAAGCGTTGACCCAGTGCCAATCAATTTCAAGCAAGAGTAATTACTAGATCCATCCAAATTTAAGTTATTTGGACCAAACATTGATAAAATAGCTTGCCCAACTTAAATGAGGATTCAATTTTGATACCACAAAACCTGATTTATATCCTATCCAAATGTTTTCCAGTATGAAATTAACAAGACCATAAACATTTTGATCCACCCAAATATGCATATTTTCATGCAAAAGATATGTAACAAGAAGAAAAATGCAGGTGGTTCCAGTAACACAAGTAATGGAAGTTCAATTGCTCCCTCTTAACTAAATAAGTATTTTGAAACGTCATATTTTTAATGCATCGAGAACTTTTTATGTAGCAGTCAACAAAACCCCTGTATAAGATTAGTAAAAATAGATAATCAAGCTTACCCTGCAAATTACCTATCTTCCCTTTGGATTCATCAGCTGCGAGAACACTCTGCTTGTTGCTACATCAGTTGCATCACTGGAAACACTGACATCATGTTGTGCAATGTCTACTTGTGGTATCCATTCACGAAGGTCTGGGATACAGTTACTGCTGCTTCCGTCGCCGATTACACCTGAAAAAGTTTCTTGGAGTTGAAGTGAATATTCCAAATTCCATAACACATCCCCTATGGATGGCCTGTCGATACCATGTTCTGCTAAGCACTTCTCAGCTGTTCCACTGAACTTCCGCAGAGAGTCTGGACTAACAGTCCTTGCAAGATGAGGATCGATTATATGCTCTAGCAGACCTCGCTTTTGCCAATTCATTGCCCACTCCACTATGTTAACCTGATCTCGAGGAAGTGCTGGATTGATTGCAGGCCTAGCGCACAACACCTCCAGGAGAACCACTCCAAAAGAGTATACATCTGATTTTTCCGTTAGTTGCTGCCTTCTAAAATACTCAGGATCAAGATAGCCAAAACTTCCCTTCACCGCTGTGCTCACATGAGTTTGGTCTAGTGTAGGTCCCATCTTAGATAAGCCAAAATCAGCAACCTTGGCAGTAAGATTCTCGTCGAGGAGAATATTCGTTGTCTTAACATCTCGATGTATTATATTCTCGGCAGCTCCTGTGTGAAGATAATGCAGACCTTTCGCTGCTCCAATGCAGATCTCAAGCCTTTGTTTCCATGAGAGGGCTGGAAGACCTGAGCCATATAAGTGCTTGCGCAGGGGACCTCCAGCCATGAACTCATAAACAAGCACCATATTGTTGGCTTCATGGCAGTGACCTATGAGGGAAACCAGGTGGCGATGACGAAGCTTGGATAACATCTCGATCTCTGTCCTAAACTCAACCAAACCTTGCTGGGATCGGGGGTTTCCCCGTTTTACTGCCACCACTAGCCCATTTTCTAACACTCCTTTGTACACCTTTCCAAAGCCACCAATACCTACAACCAAGCTCTCATCAAAGTTCTTGGTTGCTTCTTGTATCTCTGAGAAGGCTAGTAGCTGGCCTATACCAAGAGACGGGCCTGATGAAGCATAGCTACGAGTAGAGACCTTTGTGTGTGAGTTGCCCATGTGGGTGGTCGGAGCAATGGGTGAAGGGAACGATGCCAAAGTTGGCTTCTTAGCATTCCTTCGACCCCTGAGGCACAATAAGATCACTACAACAATGATGATTAGAAACACAAGTCCTAGAAAACATGATGATGCAGTAACAAGTGCTTCATTCTTTTGGTTTTTTGTCAACTCAACATCAATAGAGTGCACCATATGATTCACATCAAAATTGTCGTCCGAATCACTAAGTTTGAAGATCTCAATGCCATTGAGAATTGCATCAGGTGGGAAGTTCATCAGCTCAGGAGGACCAATTTGAACCAGGATCCTCCTATCTGAATCCATTTGGACATCGACGATGA